TATTTTATGAAGTTTTGTTGGTTAAAAAATAACTTAAGCTTGTGGAATCGCTTCAGACTAAGTGTTTTCGTATGTTCAAACTTCCAAATAGGTACCGTTAAAATATTTATTCAATGCTAGTTTAATTTTAAGCTTTAAATAATTGCRTTTATTGAAAAGCATAAAACTCTTATATTTTAGTTGTTTTTTATCTTAGCATTATAAAATTTATTATTTAGTGAGCTCTTGTTTACCATAAGCGTAAAAAGAATTTCATTTGTTGATTTAATCATTAAATTCTTGTATTTAAATTTAAACAATAAAATAGACATTTCCAAAAGCTTAAAATGTATTTAAAACATGTTAAACTGCTATAGTATTGCATCTGTTGGTGACGTTAGCAACTATTTTTAAACGTCGGAATACTTTTTATGTGTAGTATTCAAAATACTTAAGAATCTATATTGGTATAATCTACTTGTCAGTACATTAAACATTTTATACATAGTTTTATTCGAAATGGTTTTAAATACAAAATAGAATACTTTCAATATGTAAGTGTATGATATTTAATTTAATGAGTAGTGACATATAATTATTATAGGTACATATATATATAAATTTACCTAAAATCATTCAATTTCTAGTTTAAAATAACTTAACATTGTACACATTTCCTTACTTTAGAAATTGTGTAAAAGGTAAGCATAAATACTATTCAGTTTCATTCAAGATTACATAGGAATGTAATTCAGTTTAAAAAATAAAATGTATTTAATTTAGTTATTTTCACAAAATAATGACGAAATACGAAATTATTATTTTGGAAACATGAAATAATTTTATTGTAATGCAATGATATAATCTTATAATAATAATAATAAATAAAAATATTTATATACCTAAAATATAATAGTTACCTATGTTATTTTTTTATAATATTTCTMACTTAAATATTTTATTGCTCGATGTAGGGTGTACAATCATAGGTAAATGGTTGAACTTTATACTTGATGGTTTTTACTTTTTAGTTATAATCTTAGAAAGATACAATCTAGACCTTTTTAATGTATGGTTAACTCATACTGTGTGTATTCTAATTATTATATTATATTCAATTATTTTCAATGRCCATTTAGCAATTTTTTAATCGTAGAATTAATTTTTGTTTCTTATTTATAATTAGATTTAAGTACTATAAATCAAAATTATTGTAAATTTATAAAAAATATATTTGACGCTCAAAATTGTTTCAGTACCTATATAGTATATACCATAATAAATGTTTTTAAAACTAAATTTTAGTATGTTTTGTATATTCTATCCCCAATGAAAATCCATTGGCTTAAATCAATTAATATTTTAGGAGGAGTGGAGTTTTCCATAATTAAACTGATCCATAAGCCATAATCATAAACCCATTATAAATCCATACCTAGTTCATATAACTCTACTTATACTTTTAAATATTTTGTACCTAGCATTAATATTCAATGTTGAACATAGATAATTAAAAATTATAATAATTAGGTTAATGGGTTTTAGAGCTGATTCTACCCGAAAATATTAGTGCATTAGTTACTTCATAACTTAAGTGCTACCTACTCATAAATTATAACTTTATAAGTAGGTATTAAACTATTGGTTCAATATTCAATTATATTAAATATGTRTTCCTATATTTCTACCATCATCAACATTTTTAGAATCTATTTCCCCTTCACAATATAAAATAAACCTATAAATGAAAATTTATAAAAAAAAAGTTATAACATAGAAATCTTAATCGATTATCATAGTATTGTATATCTCAGTGACAATATTATTATAACTAAATACGTTGGTATAATTATACTATTTGTTRATAATTTTAACTCACGGAGTAATCAGATTATAATATGCTAAAAGAATAGTGTCAAACATTAAATATACACACGCTTGTACAGGATATTTAATTTAGAGTTTAGAATACATTTAGTTAYGTACGTAGTCAAATTTAAACTTTTTWAAATAGTTATAAACCTGAAAGTTTTCATTAAAATTTTTGATTGGTTGTACAAAAAATCTATTTGATTTTATTAAATGAAAAATAATTCTTTCTTTTGGTTAGCAAATTTATAAATACTTAATTTGAAATTGAAAATTGTGTTATTATTGGTCTAAAGAAATTTTAAAACATCTTTCAACCTCAAAAAATAATCATTTACTTTTGATTAAAATATAATTACTTTGCATACTACACTGATTATAATTATGTACTGCATGTTAAATGTTGTTTGTATTRTTTAAGAATTGTYACATTACTACAAATTTCATTTAATTTCAAGTTTTCATGTTTTAAAAAAACATTTCTTTGCTACTAATTATACTATACTAGTATGCTACACTACCAAATTATAATATAATWARTTTAATTTGGTTGTTGAGTGTTAACTCTTTCAAAAGTTATTGAAGTCATCTTGAATGTTGAAGCTTTTCAGCAAGCAGTTCAAATAATTCTTGTGTGAAATGATCAAAMCCATGCACACTTCAAATTGTGTCATAATAAACACAAAACGCTTATATACAGAACTACAATAATTAGTGGTTAAGGAGATTATTTAAAAGGCATAAATATTTTTTTTCTACAGTGCTCTCATGAGTTATACATATTTTTTTTTTTAAGACGTTTGACTCTGGAAACTTAGGTAGCTTAGCAATTCACCGTTTAAAGAAAAATTGTCTTTATTAATAAAAATAATTTTGAGAATATATATAGCCTACACTATAGAAGGCATCACCAAATGTATAATTAAATAAACGATTTTCTGTACTATACTTTTATTACATACAGGCAATAATTATTTATTTTTTTGCATATGACTTCATTATTTCTATTTTACCTATTTTATAATAAATATTTAAAAAATAAGTGAAAATAATAAAGATAATATGACATGTGTTTGGTTCACTTACTTTTATGCACGAGTGCGTGACGTTAATGTGATAGTGGTAGATTGTATTATATAATGTTTATATATACAATATAGGTACACATTATAAGGTGCTCAAAAAACTCTTAAATATGTCTTGAACACAAATTAGCTGGGCACTGTAAACTGCATTCAAAAGAATTTTTTTAATCTTATACATTCTTATTTTTTTAACTTTAGTGTTTATACATGTTTTATATTTGGGATAGATACTAAAATTTTGTCAGTTTTATATGTACCTATGTACTCGATAAAATTAAAAATTAACACCATTCTTTTTTTCCCTATGCCAAATTATTAAATATTATTTTCACTCTTATGACTCTTATGATAAGAAAATACAGAAGCCAAGAAATTCTAAAAATATACTCAGTCTTGTTCTTCTATCTGTGCCTCAGGCGTTTCGCTCAAGTGGAATAAGTTAGATATTATAGTATTATTTTTAATTTTTAAACAAATAAGTACTAATTTATTCTTAACTATTAAGTAATATACACATTTAATATATCAGATTAAAAATAATATCTAAGTACCTATTTCACGGATTAAACATTTTGTTCTTTTAAACTGTAATAAAAACTAAATAGTTTCATTAACTAAAAAGTTAAAATACTTAAGTTTTAGAAACACAATTACAGCATACAAATGTGAAATGTTAAACGTTTTAATTACAATGAGTTTCATGATTATTTTGGATTTTCGTTTCACAAAAAACTAAATAATCTTTTAAAAATAAGATAACATAATATTATATATAACATTTTATGAAGATTATACAACACAGATGGTTTAAAGATATAAGTGGTTTTTTTGTTGCTTGTATTTTTATTTTTAATATAAATAATTATTTTAAATTTTGTTTACAATATACATACATCACCTATACATTATAATTCATTATTTAAAAAATCTATACTACAAAATCAGTTAAAATATGATGACTGTGGCATACTGCATAAATGCAAATATTGAAGTTACTCACACAGTCACAYGTCATACAACTAAAAACTGCGTACCTATATAAAATGTGTTTATTACAAATTAAATATTGATATGGATCCCTGCTACGTATTATTATTTATTTTTATCTATATACAGCTTGTACCTAAGCTAGTTATAGATAAATATGTTATGTTATATTATATTCTACATATAAATATTGGATATATATTATATATATTATTTAATTACTGTAATTTTTGATAATTATCTTATTATTTCAATACAAATTATTTCAAATTGTTTCTTACTGGAATATGGTTTTATCAATTTAAAGATTTTAACGAAATATTGCGATAAATCTATTGGTTTTAGTTTAATTATGATTTTTAGCTTTTATATACCTATATATTGTATGGCGAGCACTTACTTGGGCATTAGCCAATAACAAAGCTCCAGTTTCGAGTATATTCCAATTGGAAATCTAGTGTAGTTGGTACTTAAGAAGAGGTAATTTTTCAATTTTCTTAGCAGTTTCGCAAAAACGAAAGAAAAACTGCAACTGACAACCGTAGTCTAAGCATATCAAAGAACTCTCAAAGAGCACGTTTTTATCGACCTTTACTACAAACTGTTTTTTTTTTTTTTTTTGATTCGATGATTTATTTTCGAATGTATATAGTGATAATAATACTTCTTCACCCATGCTGGCGAAGCGAGTATCCGGTCTACGTATCCTGTCCGRCTTTTTATAATTGAATTTGTATATAATGGACGTCTGAATTAATTTTTTTATTCAGTTAAGGAAAGATATATTTCCATTTTGAAGGGGACTATGGTGTAACTTAAATATGTATGCATAAATTGTAGTTATAATAATATTAAAGTAACCGTATTAAAAAAATCCCACTTCAATGAAAAAAAGGTGTATCTACCTAAATATTGTATATTATTTCCATAGTAGGTACTTATACCACTATGTAAATTTTTACAATAAATGAATATGAGTACATTTATGATTTTTCAAATGACRCAGTTGTTTGTTTAACATGCAAATGGCGCAGGTTAATAATTATATTATAATATATATATATATTTTTTTTTTGACAGATCGTATTGGAGTACGGAACCAAATTCAACTTTGGGATTCTTGGTAATGGACAATATAACAGCACTCGATGAAGGTGTATATAAATGTGAGATCACGTATACAAAAGTACACGAAGGTTGCAACATAGTTCAGTTTATAAATCTAACAACTTACAGTAAGTTTGAAAATCAATTAATTTATTGTATTACAACAATAAGTTACTAAGAAACTAAGTAAAAAAAATCTTGAAATTCACCAATCATTTTATTGGTTAAGTTRTTATTATTTAATTAACTAATATATTTTTACATATTGAATTTAACCAACCATCTTAATTGTTGACATAAAAAAATCCATTTCACTATTATGATGATGTATAAAATGATCAGGTAACACTTTAATATAACACGAAGTTATCAACAGTTTGACGATAGGTACATTGTGTCTTGAAAAAAATTTTAAAAAGTTTCAAACTTCCATTTTAATTAATATTATGAAAATATTATGAATAACAAATAATACAAAACTATAAATAGTAAACTGTGTTTGAACTTAAATGCGCTTATTGTAATTTAATAGAGAAATTACATTTATTTTAAAAATGTAAAATTTAATATAAAAAATAATCTATAAATAAGACCTAAACTATATGTGTACCATACTTATAGAGTATAAAATATAACTTATTTTTATTTTATTTTATCATCATGTTTTTTAGATGTTGTACCTATAAAAGTTTTCAAACTATGCTTGGATCACTAAGCTCGATAATTTAGTTTACGTTTTTAATAAATTTAACATTTTCTTAAAAAAGTTTGAAAACTATTGTTTCTCATCATACTATTTTAGTTTTTGTAAAATAAATCAAAAAATATTAATCATAGAAATTTAAAACACTTCATTGTTTTTTTTTATTTTTATAATAAGTTTCTGTACTTAATAAAATGTTCATAATATTTAGAATTTTAAAAGGATGTTTTGTAAGAAGCATAAATTTACATAAGTTTKCTTTAATCAGTTGAATAATATAAATTTTTTTATGGAGTACGTTTGAAATTCAAATTTTGATAAAAATTGAGATTCTTAAACAAAAAATAACGAATTAAAAATCATAAGTATACATGATTCAAAAATTCTATTCATGAAGACTTTTACGTATTTTATAACATATTACTTTAAACATGTCTCAATGAAWCAAAACACATTTTCAAAATATTTAGATAAATTTTAWGTTTTTTGACTATTTATACTATAYAATACCATAACTTTAATAGTAAAATAAATTACTTAATTAACTTAAAAACACAAGCTAGACGGTATGTCTCTACTCAGAATATTTTAATTGTAATGATTTATCATTGAATTCAAATATWATATATCTATATACTATATAGTGCTGGATCAATGACGATGTATATTCGACTCCTATTGTATAGCAGAGCGGTTACCTACTTCCCACCTTTTTTGTATTAATAAGGGAGTTATAGTTTTTATTCTAGGGCAAGTAATAAATATATCATCAATTTATATCAACATATATTTTAACTTATATATGTGATTATTGAACATGTAAATAAAATTATCATTATTGTAGGGCTAAAATTGTATAGCAATAGCTCAATATTTATAATATCGATTTGAAGTTGATTTTTTTTTTTGCTTTCCAAAAAAAAAAAAAAAATGTAAGATTAAATACTTCAATTTTTAGTTATATATTTCATAATTAAATCAATATTTATGATCTGAACATATTCACATATAAATATGGCTAAGATACATTAATCAATCGATATCCCCCCTCCCGAAAAAAAATTCTTCGGTGACACATAGTTTTCTGACTCATTTACGTATTATTTTAGACTCTGAACGAAGTGATGAATGTATTCATGTACAATGATGTGTGTTTTTTTTTTTTTTTGTGTCTGTGTACAGCATAACTAGTCGAAATAATGCTTCGATTTCAAACTTTGGGGGTGGTTTCCGATGTAAAAGTGAAGATGGACCTTGGTGCATTATA